GCCGGGTTTTGTCTTTGATTAGAACCTTTACGGAAATCCCAAAGGCCAACGGAAGGATTTTGTCGAGGAGCCCGGAGCTTGTCTCCTGCTTGGAAAGAAGAGGCGGTAGATGAGAGACACGGGCAGGCCTGGTCAAGGCCAGAGGGGTCACACAGCCTGAGGGAGACCCGGTGGAGGAGCGGAGAGGCTCTCGGAGGGCCTCTACCGTGGCCTCGGGGTTCTCAGCGTTAAAGACGGGTCAGATCGGGGCTCTGTGCCCCTAGGGCACCCTCCTCAGCCCACGGGCCTCCCCCGGTCCTACCACCTTGCCGGGGCCCTTCCTGTGGAAATGGTCGCATTCCTTCCCTGCACTCATACCTTTACTTCTATGCTTCCTTTAATAGTGTCAACGTAAGAAACATTCAAACGTGTAAGAATTTGTGTGAGTTTATTTGACAAGCCTGTTGACAACTGCCAGAAATCTCAATGGATTGAAATAATGCTCCGGAGAATGGCAGTTTTACACCTTATTTTATGCGTTACAATCAAAAGAGGAGATGCAAGTGGGTTCCATGAAATCCATTGGTGAAGGATTAGGGAGGTGTGGGGGGGAACCTCTGGGATCAGACGAACAGTAGCAGGAGAGAGACATCTTTTACTCAAGTGGGTACAGGTTAGTCAGCAATTACCACGATAAAACAAAGAGGCTTTATGGTCTCTGCCCCGGTGCACCAGCTGTGCCCTGAGGGGTCTGACAAAAGGAATTACCCTGACATTCCAAAGCCGTATTAGAGTAAATGCACAGGACAGTAGACTGGCTTAGTTAAGGTCAAGATTGACCTTTGTCAGGGAAGATACTGGCCTAGGACATGACTACCCACCATAAACTGCTTTTAGTTTAAAAAGTGTTAATTTTTCATCCTGTGTGGTTACTTCAGGTCTCTGAGTTTGCAAGGCCGCCATGCAGGCCTTCCCTGAGCTCGTCAGGTTAACACTGCATGTGGCCCCTTTTTGTCCACAGTAGGATTGGGGGATGAGAGGGAGAGGGAACTCTGCCCTGGAAATCTTTTAATGTGTGCATTTTGGTTTTCATTTACCTTAGAATGACTAGTTCTACTAAGAATGACTGCCTCTTCATTACTTGTGTTATAAAGGAGAGATTTAACAGAGGGGATTTCTGCCGTCTGAGAATTTAAAAGCCTATACAGGTGGTGTGAAGGCAGGTAAGATGCACAGAGGACAGATAAACATCAAGCACCGTGTGTTCCTTAGACATAGAAAGGGCATAACCATGGAATTTCTTCTACCACATTTAAGAAACCCCTTAAGAATAAGTTAGATTTGGAACTGGGGGAACAGAATTCTAAACCCCAAGCTACATGCTATATAAATTACACTTCTCCCGTCAGCATAAACAGAAGTAGAAGACAGCAGGACTTGTCTTCTAGATGAAGTAATAATGGCCTTAAATAATGGTCTTGTGGTGATGTGTATAAAATTGTCTATATTCTAAATCTAGACTCTAGAAGGAGGAATTTCTGCTAGTGTGGATGGAAGAAAAAAATGGGCTGTCAAAGAAGTAATCATGAGTCAGGACTCCTATATTTACTTCAGTTCACCTCCTTTGTTAAAATATGTAATAAGTCTGTGACTGATCTAGGGACCTGAAATGTAAAAATTGAAAACAAATCAAAGGTATTTTTAAATTCGTGGATACTTGAAAGTTTTGCTCCATTGTCTTAATTTAGTTCCCAAGTATCCCAACCCCTCCTCATTTAACAGTAAATATTTTCTGAGCCAGGCACGATTTCTAGATTCTGGGGATATAGCAGTGAACAAAACAGACAAAAATTCCTATTCTCAAAGAGGTGAACATATTCTAGTAGGCCTGGGTGTGCTTGCTGTGACAGACAAAACAAGATAAAATAATAAAATACATAGTGTATTAGAATGATGATGTCCTGTGAAGAAAAAGCAAAGGAAAGATACAGTGATTGTTGAGGTATGATAATTTTGAATAATTGAGAGAACACCTAGAGGTGGGGTGGCTCGTTGTGCTGATGTCTGGGGGAGGAGTGAACCAAGCGGAGGAAACAGTATGGGAAAGGGTCGTGAAGCAGCAGTGAGAAGCCCTGTAAGAGGTGTGGAGTGCAGATGAGAGAGAGGCAAGGCTAAGGGGAGATTGCAGAGGACGCTGAAGATAATCATGAGAACGCTGGCTTATATTTTGAGTAGGATAGAAGTAGTGGAGCATTTGAGCAAAGGGGTGATATAATCTGACGTAAGGTTAAAGTTACTGAATGCTTTGTAGGGAAGAGAATATGAAATGGAATAGGGGGGAAATCAGGGAGACCATTTTGGAGGCTGCTGCAGTAATCCAAGTAGAGTAAGGTTGTCAGATTTCGCAAATAAAAATATAGGACACCTGCCTGGCCGGGCGTGGCTCAGTGGTTGAGCGTCGACCTAGGATCTAGGAGATTGCAGTTTGATTCCTGGTCAGGGAGAGGTTTATATTAAGTCGTTCATTGTATCAGGCGAAGAAAAATGGGATTTATTGGTTTTTCCTAAAAGCAGATTATTCGTAGGATGGCAGGAGAAAAGGACTGAAAGGCAGAGGCTGAAAGTCGGGCTTTCTGTTCTGCAGGTAGCTGGGCTCTCCCTGGTGGTATCAAGAAGGAGAGAAGCTTGTTGGCAGTTTAACAACACAGATTACCTGTCTCTGGCACATAGGTACTGGGAATCTACACTAATCGGATGAAAATATAACTACTAAAATGTCTTCACCTACATATAGTCACCAGTAAAGCAATCTTGGGAGGGGGTTATATTAACCTTTTAAATTAATGTTTCTCTTTTTTTTTAAATAGGGATAACCATAAGAAATGAATTTCAATGTCTGGAATATCAAAGATATGCTCAGTATTCCATCAGGCTCTGGGTAAGTTTTCTGGTTATATATTCGGATTCTTAAGAAGATCTTTTAGTTATATTTTTTTCATAGAAAGAGCTCTCCTTCCTATTGGTTATAGAGTTACCCCATATAGTTTCTTCCCCTGCCTGTCACTGCTGTACCCTCTCATACTTGGCTTTTTCCTTTCACCTATTTTATAATTATAAAAGCAATGTCAGTTCAGCTATGTATGTTAATTGAGCAGTGACTCTCTGTTCAGCATTGGGCCTAGAAATTATGATGCCTGTGAGAGATAGACATCGTCCAAGGTCTAGAAACTCTCACTTCAGTTGGAATGAATGCTGTTGAAATAGCAAGGAGAAAAGTCAAAATGATGTCCAGATATATATATAATAGCGCCACTCCAGCTGTTGAAAAGGTTCATTGAGATATTGTCCCCTCTACTACTGCTCCACTGAGGTTTCAAAGACTGGCATAGATATCCAGGGAAAGGAAGTTGAAAGTCCACAACTGGAAGTATTTAAAGCAAGCAAGGACCAGACACTGAAAGTGTGAAAGGGAACCATATAGTTGTTTCAAAAACAATTGCTATTGAGTCCTGCTGTGCACAGACTTGAGTTGATTACATTCTTCAGTTTGCATGAGGCCTATATTAGCCTGTGTGGGCTGCCAAAACAAAGGACATAAACTGGAAGGCTTAATGCTTAAACAACAGAGATTTATTTTCTCATAGTTTGGGAGGTTGGAAGTCCTAGAACTTTATGCCAGCATAATTGGTTTCTGGCGAGAGCTCCCTCCTGGCTTGCAGACAGCCACCTTCTTGCTGTGTCCTCACATGGTAGAGAGAGAAAAGAGAGGGTGAGCTCTCTGGTGTCTCTTCTTAAAAGGACACTATCCCATCATGAGGGCCCCACCATCATGATGTATATGTTGTAGGTTTAAAAGTTTACATAAATGGCCTGGCCGGGCGTGGCTCAGCGGTTGAGTGTCCACCTGGGATCCAGGCAATAGGGGTTCGATTCCTGGTCAGGGCACATGCCCGGGTTGCGGGCTCGATCAATGACTCTCTCATCATTGATGTTTCTATCTCTCTCTCTCCCTCTCCTTTCCTCTCTCTGAAATCAATAAAGATATAAATAAATAATAAATAAATAAATAAATAAAATAAAATGTTTACATAAATGATGTGTAATAGTGCTCATTCATTTTTTACTTTTTTCCTGTACTCAGGATTACATTTTTGAGACTTATATTACTTATTTACTTATATGTAAATCTAACTTATTGCTTCTGGCTATTGCATCAGTTATATGCATATATCATGTTTTATTTTTTATCTATTCCCTCAGAGATGAAAAGATTTAACTTTTTATAAGATAATGTTCTCTTAATCCCTAAAGATTTTATGAACTTTGATCTCCAAAATGGTGTTATAGCCTACAGTGCTATTATTCAAGGAATAATGGTGTTATTGTTTAAATTCCCACTGATTGTTCCCAGGTTGTTATAATAAAAATGTCTGGCATTCAAAAATTTCTTGTTTCTTTATAGGTGGTACTGGCAGTGTTCAGGGAGGTCATAGGAGGTTAGAACAAGCTAGCACTCTGCCCAGAGTATTATGAAATGAAGAGTTGTAAATTATTATTTTATTTGTTCAGGATGTTTTCTACTTGCTATGCTTTGCTTTTCTTGTTTAATTTCAGGACCACTAAGTCATCTAACTGGACCAATAATCAGACTGATTACTCCAGTCTCAGTGATTCTCAGTTCCTCTTTGGATCCCAGTTCTGTCCAGAAAGTTCAGAGACCCTGTCAGCACCCTTGGATGTTGGTGTCCATTTGAGAGATCCAACACAGTTACAAAAGAATTCTCTGGATGTGAGTCTGATTGCCAGAATTTCTCTGCACGCATTTCACCATCATTATGGAGATAAGCTGTGAAGACTTATTCTGTTGAATTATATTTCAGAAGTGGTCCTCTCTAAGGATTACTTTCCTAAATAGATATGTGCTTACTGGTGATTTGTTTGACTTGGTAGATTGAAATGGGGAAAATATCTATATTTGCAGTTTCTTCTGTTACTAAAGCAATGTAGAATAGTGCCAGTACCTCGACCCCTTCTAGGGAGATCCAAATATTGTAGGACACTTTCTAAGACTAGTCATACTATTAGTTATAAAAGTTTCATAAGGCCTAGCAGGCTTGGCTCAGTGGTTAGAATGTCGGCCTACAGACTGAAGGGACTTGGGTTCAGTGCTGGACAAGGGCACGTACCTGGTTGCAGGCTCCACTCCTAGCCTCTCTCTCTGTCCCTTCCATGCTCTCTGAAAGCCATGAAAAAATATCCTTGGGTGAGGATTAAAAAAAATTTTCATAAGAAAAAAGAACTTTAGAAAAATTGGAATAAAGTAACATAAATTTTATTTTAGATGGACTTTAATTTTTCAAAGAAACCTCAGGCGCTCAGTGGATTCTAGCCTACGCTGCTGCATGATCTCCTTGAAGGAAGGGATGCGGATGCCGAGGCCCAAGTTAATGGATAAGGGCCAGAATGAGGGCCAAGGCTCTTGAGTCCTTGATTTTTTTTAAGACCAGCATGTCTTCTTTTGTGAGTCAGAAATATTTTAATATATTTACTTATGTAGGTCTAAAACTAGATTTGACTTCATATACGGACTTACATGCATCCAAGTAGAAACTTAATGAACATGAGGTCAGTGCTTAAGTTAGTAGGGCGTGCTCTGAGAACAGCATTTCAGTACAAAAATTGGTGCCCAGGATATGAAGGAGCAAATGTACACCCTGAATGTTTCAGAGTAAGTTTTGCATCAGAATGCAGGAATTGGCTCACCATGTGCCAGCATACCCACCATCCAGTTCACCAGCAGCTGAGCAACAGCAATTTGAGTTAAACTTATTAACATGAAAACTTTAACATATCACCTCAGAGACAGCATAAGTAATTCTCTGTAGTAAACAAACTGATGGTTGCCAGAGGGGAGCAGGGTAGGATGTTGGGCAGAAAAGGGGAAGGGGGTTAAGTACAAACTTCCAGTTATAAAATAAGTCACAGGAATGTAATGGACAGCATAGAGTACATTAGCATAGGGCATAGTCGGTAATACTGTAATAACTATGTAACAGGACAGATATTACTAGACTTAGATCACACAGGTGGTGATCGATCACTTCGGAAGGTATATAAATGCTGAATCACTATGTTGTACACCTGAAACAAATATAATATTGTATATTAACTATAATTTAAAATAAAATTTAAAATATATATAAATAAAATAGTTGATGGAATAAAACAGTTCTCTGTTGTTGCCTTTAAATTTATGCAATTGATTTTAGCTGACATTTTATATATATCTCTGGGCTGGTAAGGCAGAAACTGTATTAATAAAAAGTTGCTTTATTGTAATATAATTTTTTTGCATGTATGAAATAAAAAGGAAGTACTACATGCTATGTTGTTACTTAGTATTATGGTTTATACTTAAATGTGACTCTGCATTGTATAGAAAATGGTGAATGTTACAAGTATTTTTCTATGTGAAATGCTATAATGATTTTTTTTTAATTTAACAGAATGAACCTAGTATTTTCACAAAGTACCAGACAAAACCCCAGCTGTTTGGAGAAGATATAAAAGATGGAGGCTTATTTCCTCTTCCTCTGCCAGTTGGAAAATCAAAAGGCCTCTTGGAACAGTTTGAAGAGAAAAAGAAAATAGCAAAAGACAAATTGGACAGGTACACACACCTTTCAAGTAGACCAGACAGCTCCTCTTTTATGAGGGCAGCAGAATGGAATGCCAATAGTGAATAATTCCATTTCAGCATGATAGCACTCTTTCCTTTATAGCTCATCTAATAATTACTCTCTATTTGCTTTCTTATCGCTGTAACTTGTGGCGGATTTCACTATGGCTGCCACAGTTTTGGCCCCTCTGAAAAGTGAGCTAAAGGACTTCTTAGAGAAATGCAGTATTCAAATAGTATTATGTTTATTCTACCCCAAATTCTGCCCCTTAATTTGTTTTCTTTTCAGATCATCGGAATTAGGAAATAAGATGATATTATTTGTTTTAGAATGAAGAACATAGCATGTGAATTCTTAAGTCCATAGTTCAAGCTGATTTTTCTCACTTATAAATGTTGCTATTTTTTCAGATATACCCTACATTTTATACATCTTCTTATTTGTTAGTGTTATATTGATTTCTTTTATTTCTTATCCTCATCTAAGGATATTTGTCCATTGCTTTTAGAGAGAGTGGAAGGGGGGGAGAGAGAAACAGCGATGTGAGAGAGACACTTCAATTGGTTGCCGCCCGCGTGAGTCCCAACCAGGGCCAGGGATCGAGCCTGCAACCAAGATACGTGCCCTTGGCCGGAATGAAACCCAGGACCCTTCAGTCCTCTGGTGGATGCTCTAACACTGAGCTAAACTGGCTAGGGCAGTGTTATATTGATTTTTAAAACAAATATGTGAGATAAATTAGAGCTGCAATATTTTTAAATAAAGAAATTGAAGTCACTGAGGAAATAACTTGTTCATTTCTTGGTAGTAAGTTATTATCAAGGCAACATCTTTAGGTATCACAGAAATCATAATACCCAAGCAGAGATATACTTTATTATTTCTGTGACAATGAAGGGGTATTGCTTAGCATCACCACTAGTGCTTTGATGTTGAAAGAGCCAAAATTTCTTAAAAGAATTCCTATATTAGGTATCTGTTATACTGTATAATTTATTTTCTGATGTATTGAATTTCTAGGTACCATAATTCTCTGCTTTTATACTTTAATAACATTCTGTTCTTAACATCCTTAATTCAGTTACTTTTTTATTTTTAATATTTTTATTGTTTTCAGGTAATATGCCAATCTCTTTCATGAAAAAACATATGGCCCTAGCCAGTTTTGCTTAGTGATTAGAGCATCGGCCCCAGGACTGAAGAGTCTCGGGTTCGATTCTAATTAAGGGCGTTCCTTGGTTGCAGGCTCGATCCCTGGTCCTGCTTGGGATGCATGCAGGAGGCAACCAATCAAAGTGTCTCTCTCACATTGATGTTTCTCTTTTTTTTTTTTT